TGCAGCAAAACATTCGAAAATCTACATTCTCAATTAACTGTGCTTAATTTGATCTGTAAAAACTCCCAGTAACAGTTCATTATCAGCAAAAAAAAAAAAAACAAGAAACAACAACAAAAAAAAAAACACAACACCACACCACTTCTATTCAAACTTTCCCAGAAATCTTACTCTTTTAATACAATGATCTAATATGGCCCTTTAGGCTAGAAATTTAATTCCATATCAATGTTCTTATCCATAAGTATTGGCAAGTATTTCTCATTTTTGACATCTACAAATATATATTTCCACAAATATGCCATTAAATAATCGTACTAATTTAGTTTAATGAAAAATAACATGGGTTTTCTTTTGAAGTTTCTATGCTAAGTCAAGAACCCCTTGCAATTTATGATCAATATTCAGAATCATAAACATTTAGGGCCTGAAAGCACGTTAGTAAATACCTGGTGTAACTTCTCTCATCCCGGAACCTATGATGCCACCTACAGCTGATGCCACAGCTGAAACAAGAAGTCAGTGCCCCACCTAACGAATTCGGTGATGAGTCCATGACCCAGCACAATGCAGGTGCCTTCTTGATGGACCATCTCCTACTGCCGTGGCCTATCCTGTCTCAAATGAGAAACAACTGCTCTTTACCACACAGGCAAATCTTCGGACTCTCTCAGTCAAGCTTCCCTCATTCATCTATAGATTTAATAGCTATTATTACTAAAAAAAAAAAAAAAAAAAAAAAAAAAAAACAAACAAAAAAAAAAACAAAAACAAAAAAAACTGGACTTAGAATGAGAAACACCATACACAGTCTATATTACTTTTAATATGATTTTTTGAAGGGTTTCTATTACCGTTTAAAGGCTGAAGAGGGAGGACAATCAGGCAAACTTCTTATGAAACTTTTAAAAAAATAATTTAAGACTAGATTAGAATAAACAGGACCCTGTCACCAAAAAAAGGGGGGTGGACAATAAAATGAAAATTTCCCAGTCAGTGACTAACACTTCACATAATTAATCATATAATGCTCGGGGGGTGGGGAGAGATTCTTCAGATATGTTTAAAAATCTAACTTAGGGACTGGAGAGATGGCTCAGAGGTTAAGAGCATTGCCTGCTCTTCCAAAAGTCCTGAGTTCAATTCCCAACAAGCACATGGTGGCTCACAACCATCTGTAATAGGGTCTGATGCCCTCTTCTGGCCTGCAGGCATACACACAGACAGAATATTGTATACATCATAAATAAATAAAAAATTTAACTTAATAGAAAGTGAAATTCCCAGTAAATGCAAGTGGTATACCAAGGACAAGCACCTCTAGCGCTGTCTATCCTCTAAAGAAGTAAGAACGGGCGTAAACCTAGCACTTCAGGAGCTGGCACCGCAACCTTCCTCCAAGATAAGCTTTACAAACCTGCCCATGGAATGTCAGCAAGTTCCTCCCCTCTCTTTCCACCCAAGCCCTAGCAGTGTTCCACAGTTCTCCACTTACAGAGTCCTGGAAGAAAACACCAATGCAAGGACAGGCACAGGAAGACACAGACAGACAGACGCACACTGACCCATCCTCAGAAAGTAAGAGTGAAGAAGGACTCTGCACTGAGCGAGAGGGAGCATCCCTGGCCTTGCGAGAAAGGAGGTAAGATGGGAAAAGGAGGAGGGCAGGAGGCAGGACCCCTCCAAGGTGATACAGAGAGCAAAAATCCAAACTTATGGAACCCAAGTGCCTGAGGTTGTCATCTGGGAACACAGTAATAGCAGAAATTTTTCCTGAAATACCACAATAAGCAAAGATATAAGGAAGGGATTTTCTTGATACTTTCAATTACTGTGTATCTCATACTTTGTCAGGGGCTGGAGCGAACTTCTAAAACTCCTGTCAAGTAGAAATGGAAATAATTTCTGAAATGACAGCCCCAAAGAGAACCTGGTGTAAATTAAAGTTCTTACCTATGGTTGTAACCTATAAAACTATGTATCTAGTCTCTCAAATATTTTTTGGACCAATTTTTACATCTTCACTATATACTGGTTCCTTCACTAATTAATGAGTTGAGGAAAATCTTTAACATATATCCTTTTTTTATGTGAGTCATAGTTTTACTTTTTAAAAAACTGTACTTAACAAGCAAGAATTTCCAATCACTAAATTTGACTAGAGACTTTGTATATTTTAGAAAATTGTATATATTTTCTAAAATATACAATGTTTATAGAAAGCATTATGAGTTTGCAAAGAACTGTAAACTGAAATAAGATATAGTTAAATAGTTAAACCCTAGTATAGGAGAATGAGCTGTTCTGCAAACTCTTATAATATTATTGAGGTGAAGGGCTCCATTTATGACTGAAGGCTGGGAGGAGAATTTCCTGTAAGAACAGGAACTAGAGTTGGGGAACAAGCTGAGTGCTGAGTCAGTAAACGGGGGGCACGCAGAACACCCCTTTTCCTCTACTCTGTTTACACAATGGAACTGCCTAAGAAATAAATGTCAGCGCATCTGGGAGTGCAGCTCGGGTAAGAAGAACACAATCAAAAGCTCAGTCCCGCTCACAGCCGCTTTACTTGGTATTTTGTCCTTTCTCCTGTCTTTCCCACAAATTACAGCAGAAAATAGCTGATAAACCCGTGTGTGAAGAGGTTGAAACGAAACAACACCCCAAGAATAAGGATGCAGTCTGCATCTCGCTGTTGGAGTCAAAATTTGAGAAAGACCGAAAGTTAAAAATAGCTGAGAATGTTTTACCACCCTGGAACTCAAGGCCCTCAGCTGCCAGATGTGCACCTCAGACCTACTTTCCCAGCGTTTCCCTTCCTTCCCTTCCGGCTCACTAGCCTCTGCACTGTGGCCTTCTAAGCACTCAAATGTGCTTTCCAGCATTGGCCACTCTGAATGCCCATCGCAGTCCCTCCCCAATTGCTTTTTCATGGTAGCTTCTTCTCATCCTTGACATTCTAAATCAAATGCACTTCTCCATAAAGCTCCTAACTCAGCAAAAGTAGCTCTCTCCTTGCAATCGACTTTCTTCATGGTGTCTGCCACAATCTTAGATGATCTATTGCGTGGGGCCCTTGCTTGTCCTGTATTGCTGTTTCCTAGGTTACAGAGCAATACATGGTGTATACTGGGCCCTATACGTTTATTAAACCAGAAAGCACTAAAATGAAGGCCTGGTTGATAGCCTAAGCTGGGAAGGAAACTTGGCTCCACCAGTCAACAGCTATGTAACCTTGAGCACACCACAAGTTCTGAATTGGTGAAGCGTAACTAGACGGTAAGAAACTGGGGACAGCAAGCATGACGTCCTCTCGCTTTGTTTCTTTGTTGTTCGGTTTTTTTGAGACAGGGTTTCTCTGTGTAACAGCCCTGGCTGTCCTGGAATTGCTTTGTAGACCAGGCTGGCCGTGAATTCACAGAGATCCGCCTGCCTCTGCCTCCCGAGAGCTGGGATTATAGGTGTGTGCCATCACCATCCAGCTACAAACTTCTATCTCAAAAAAAATTTTACATTAGGATTCAGGATAATAGCACAATTAGTTATGAAGTAGCAATGAAAAGAATTCTAGGGTTGGGGGTCATCACAACATGAGGAACTGTATGGCGGGGTCACACCATTAGGGAGGTTGAGAACCTAAATCTCCTTGTTCTCACAGGTATTAGATTATTTGCAAGGTCATGAGATGCCAAAATTGTGCGGACTTTACCTGAACTTCCCTTGCCCACGCCTCCTTACAACCTCCTTGATGACCTCTAAATCAAGATCATGAGTCTACAGCTAAGTATGACACAGCGTGTTCTACAACATACATCACTGCTCATGGTGTTGCTTCAAAGCCTGTGTCTGCTGCTCACCGCTTCACAGCCCAGTCCCATTACTTAGCCTCAAACTGATATGGCCGTGTGGTGTTCCACAACGGCTTTATGCTCCAAATAATAGTACTGCCTGAGTTTACCATGGCCTGTGCTCAGACACGTGATACATGCAGATACACTTATAGACTGTGGTCTACTGCGTTACACGGAAAATAGGCAGGGTGCAGTGATAACTGTAGAAGGTTTGCTTTAGACAGCCAGGAGTTGTATGAGAAACTGTCATTTGAATTCAACTCTGAGGGCCAGGAGGAAGCCAGTGTGTAACGAGCGAGCGAGGGAGCGTGTATAGCACAAACTTAACCTCTCCATGCCTGTTTCCTACTCTGTGAAAACAAGAGACAAAGGAACCAACATGCAGATACTATTTGGGGACAACTGAATACAGTTAGCTTGACAATCAAGTGTCGAGCTCTCGTGTGCAGCACCCAGTTTCCTGCCTAGTTGAGGGTCACACGTGACCTTCCACCACAGGGTCTCCAAAGGTTTGCCAGCCTCTAATTTACCGATGCCTTGAGTTTTTCTACCCATAAAATAAACAAACTAACCCATTACCCTTCCCTTCTACTTCCTCACCATTTCACTAATCTCTTCATGTGCTAGGAGTGCGCTCTGTAAGATTTCCTGAGGACCTGAATTCTATTGTAAACCCAAGTGGAACCCTGCAGGTTAAAACGACACGGAAGATGTCTGAAGAGCCTTTCCAAGAAAAGGACTTCATCCGGTCATTCGGTCGTGGAACCTTTGTGACACTGGGCTACAAGGGTGAACTTGGGAGCAGGAGGCATAAAACTCCCGGAAACAAAATATCAAACTGCACCAGCATGAAACTCGACTTCTTTCTGGGACAACAGTGTCTGCATCCGATACTGTTTAAAACGAACCTGTGCCCCAACCGAGGTCAAAAAAATAAAAAAAAAATAACAGACGCTGAAGAGCTAATGGAAGTGGTCGCAACGAACCCAACGCCCCTCACTGAGCACAAGAGCCCCAGCGAGCGGCAGATGGGTGGCTGTCACCGAAGGAGGAAACCCAGCAGCCGGGCCCAGGGAGGCGCTAACCGCGGAAGCCGAGCAACCTCAGAGCACCTGGCCCAGGCCCTCACAACCACGCCGACCCCAGTACCTGCGGGGTCCAGCGCCATCTCGGAGGGCGGAGAAGAAGCCGGCCACTCGGGGGCTCGGGAGCCGGGAGGGGAGGAGCCTGAGCTGGACTGCGCGCGCAGCCGCCCGCCCGCTTCCCGCAGGAGCCAAGCGGGAGCGTGCACGCCTCCGTGAGGCCAGGCCACGCCCCCTTTCCCTGTTCCTACTTCCGTTGAGCTTTGCGCCTGCGCCTGACTGCTCTCTGGGGACTCATGCTCTCGAAGGGGCTGATTTCTCCGGGAATGGCTCGGGAGGGGACGTGGTTACGCATGCGCCCCCAAGAGGCGGCCTCGATTGTCCACCGCTTACCTTTTCTATAGTATTAGGTGGGGTTTGAGGCTTGGGCCTCTTCCCTCAAAGGCTCTTAATGTCCCGGTCATTCAGTCGTAATGTAAGTCCGTCTGTCCGTGTCAGGGTTCAGCCTCAGTCTTGAGAGCCAGAGGAAAAGTAATTTAAAAACCTCTGCCTGCCCGAGTCCTGCTCAGAAGAGCTCTGTCTTGTGCACACTCCCGGCACCTAGAGTCCAGTTTTAGTGATAGCATGGGTCTTGACCGTCCTGGAAAGCCGTCATTTGTTGCTTACATAAGGGGAAGGAACAGTTCCCAAAAGCCTCCTCGACAGAAGTAACTTTCTGGGTGGCCCTTGGGCCTGTTTCTGCTCGCTGACCGACCCTCGGTTCTTCCTCAGATCTCCACGTAATGAGCTCGCTGGAGTCTCCAAAGGGTAAGGCCAGGGACAGATGTTTGGAAAAGCTCGAGCAGCTGCCTCTTCCCTGCAAGGGATTTGGGGCTTTCAAAATGATCCCCTCCCCACCTACCTGCGGTCCCCCTTCCCTGCTGCTGCGTCCGCCTGGTCGGTTGGCAGAAAAGATGCCACGGTTGAACAGGCCTGGAAAAGTGGGTCTCCGCTCAGCAGGGCTCCCGTTTAAGGGCCTGTTTGGACACACTGGCCCTCCTTACAGCTGCAGGCTGAGGTGCCAAGGTGGAGAATTAAACCTTCACTCAGCCAGGCAGGAAATCGGTTCCTGTGCTTGAACGTTTTACAAATGTGCTTAGAAACACACATGAAATCTGTTACGGGTGCTCTTTTTATTTTTCTGGGAGTGAAGGATTTAGAAAAACCAACATTTTGTTGTTTCCGCTGTTGTTGGTTTGGACAGTCTGGCCTGAAGCCCAAGTTGACCTCGCTGGATGTGTAGCAGAGCGCCTGAATCTTTGAGAATAGACTGAGTTATAAAAAACAACAGCTCAGGCACCCATATTCAGGTAATCACACCAAGTATGTGAAAGCACAACTCAGTAAGGGGTGTAGTTTGGTCCGATTCATTCGGGCAGAACTGTTGGTGTCCTCGCTTGAATCCTGTACCAGGCCCGTTGACTTGGTGACTTGAAAATAGGTTCTGAGGATTTTCGGTACTTCAGTTTCTTTTTCAAGCTCATTTTTAGGAATACACAAAACAGGACACATCCGAGAGACATGAAGGGACTACTCGTATACTTTTTTTTTTGCCATAACTGTGGCTTGAAACATTATCATTACTGTTTTCTACTTAACTCATCTCTCAGAATAAACAATTGATGTTTCCTTTAGCCTTATCACAATGTTTTGGAAAATCTTGATTTTTCTGTGTTTCCTAAAATTGACTACTAAGCATTTCATACCACGAAAAGTATAGCAATACACCGCAATGGCTGGGGCTTATATGTCTTCCCATTCTCATAGTCAACGGAATGAATGCTTTGGGAGAAAAGAGTCGTTACAACACAAACCATTCCTAAGAGTTAAGGCCTAGGAAATGAGATGGCAATTCAAAACAGAAGAAAAGTTCTAAATTAGCACATCACGACAGATAATCTCTTATATAGTGCAATAGGAGTATAAAGAATAAGAAAAACACATCATCCTGGACATTGAAACTGCATCTTACACAACCGTGAACCCTAACTGAAATAATGGCTGGCACCTAGTATTTCCACAGTAGCCTCTCAGAAGGGCTGGAGTACCATGGTGTTTGAGAACACCATGGAAGATCAGCTAAAATTACGTCTGGCTTAAAAGGCAGTGGCCCCGGTAACAAAGGAGGAAAGTCACCTTTGTATCGTCCTACTAAAGCTGCAAGAAAAGAATCAGAGATTTGAACCATTCTTGAAGGGCATCTGGCACACAGGAGAGCTTGGTGGCTGTGCAGGTTGGCTGCTGTCAACTTGACACATACCTAGACATATCAGAAGAGAGAGAATAGTAATTTAATAAAAATGCTTCCATAAGATTTCCCCATAGGCAAATGTATAGGGCATTTACTTGATTAATGTGGGAGGCTTAGCCCCTGGGCGTAATCAGAGGTTTGTCTCCCACCCACCAGTTCCCAAATAACCACTCAGAGGCTTAATATTACTTATAAATGTTTGGCCTATGGCTCAGGCTTATTATTAGCTAGTGCTTACATTTAAATTAACCCATTTTTATGAATCTATGTATTGCCACGTTGACGTGGCATTACCTCATTTTCTACATAAGTCTTGCTTCCTCGGCAGCTGGCTGGCAACTCCCAGACTCTGCCCTTCTCCTGTATCTCTGCTTGGATTTCTCACCTGGCTCTATCCTGCCTTGCGATAGGCCAAAACAGTTTTATTTATCAACCAATGAGAACAACACATACTCACCATATGCAGGATCCCACAGCACCTGGGGGCAATGTCCTCGGTGGTGTAAAAAAGCAGGCTGAGCAAACCATGCAGAATAGAGCCAGTAAGCAGTGTTCCTTCACGCTTCTGGTTCAGTCCTTGCCTCTGGGTTCCTTGCACTGTCTTCTCTCGGTGATGGAGAATGACCTAAGTATTGTAAAATAAAATAACCCCCTTTTCTTCCCAAGTTGCTCTTGGTCATGGTGTTTATCACAGCAATAGGAACCCTGACTAAGACAGAGGCCAACGAGTGGAATTATGTGAGCAAAGGCACAGGGGTGGGAATCAAATTGCTGACTGACAGAAATGCAGGAGGATGGCCTTGAAACCCACTGAAGAAGTTGGAAAGCTCGAGTAGTTATAAACAAGAGTATAGCAGAAATGCCAAGAGGCTGATAAACTTAACGATTAGGCACAAGCATGTATGAACTTGTCGTAAGCAGTCTAGAACATATGCACTATTTGAAGGCTAAGTAATAGAAAAATAGCTTTGGAGTCAATTTTTTTCATATACTTTTTAGTGTGTGTGTGTGTGTGTTTATTTGTGTGTGTGTGTTTGTGTGTGTGCACGCAAGCACTAATGAGTGTGTCTTGCTAGGTGAGTTAATGTAGTTCACAGGTTCACAGCTGGGTAAGACTTGGTGTTTTTACTCCCCTCTGGCAGCCAGCCTAGCTCCTATGGCTCTGTGACAGTGGCCATCAGGGAGAAGGCGTCCAGGTTGATTTCTCCAAGTTCTGCGCGCAAAGTCGATGGTATCTTCAGCACTAGGCTTTACCCACAAGAACTGGTGGACAGCCAAGTACATTGTCAATAGGGGACAAGGAGCCCATTCCCGGCACCCAGCCAACAACCTGAAGGGATGTATCCATACTTGGGAGTGGGCTTTTTGTTTGACGGTGGTATTTGGGAGGAGCAGTGTCATCCTGTAGAATAATTCCAATTACACTATTTTGAAATATTATTATAAAGCCTATAACATGGGTTTCCACATGAGTTGGCAATTTCTGTTCCCTTAACTTGCATGTAGTGATTTATCTGTTCATTCTCCTGGTAAAATGGGTAAGGGGCTCTGTTTAACCTAAAAATGTAAAATTTAACAGGTGTAGCTAGTAAGAAAGATCTTGGAACTACACAGGGATGCCTGGACCGAGCTCAACTCACTCTTTCTCAATCAATTTTTTTATGTATCATTTTGTGTGTGTGTGTGTGTGTGTGTGTGTGTGTGTGTATTATATACAATTAATCCCTACTCTTTGCTCAGGTGAATGAGTTGTTATTTGTGAATATACCCTTGTGTGTTAATGATCTAGAAGATTCCATGGTTTAGCTTCCTAGTAACACCCCAGGCCACAGAAGTGCCCGTGTGACTAGTTCTGTGAGTATTGATTACATTCACCCATTCTGGATCTTTTCCCAACTTTAATCATTCATGATAGCCTTTGGGACTGGCTCCTATTGCCCAGCGTCACAGCTGTGAGATTCATCTACGGCCTCTAACGGTCAGTGTGGCATTGGTCAAACCGCTTGTCCTCAGTTTCCCCATCTGTGAAGTTAAGACATGTGCCTTTGTGAATCCTCTGAGCCCAGGAGATGACCCGTTAGAAATCCTGACAGTGGGTGTCCGGGACTCACGATCCCATTCATAATTTAGAGCAGTTGTTACTGTGGAATTTATTTCTTATGTCTTCTTTTTTATTGTTTGGAAAGTTGTTCTGAGCTACTTTTACTGTGTGTGCTCTTTTAAACTTTGATTACTCAGCGTTAGCCTGCCATCAGGACTAAAATCTAGGCTCTAATATGCTTAACTCAGTATTCTGTGAACATGCTCCAAGAGAACAGAGAAGATTTAGCAGTGTGCCCTGTCACTTCAAGTGAGGGGAGAAAAAGGTGTGGCAAAACCTCTCGCTTCTACAGAAAGCTGCCTAGATTTCTGTTTTGTCTGTTTGTTTTGTTTCTCTCAGGTCAAAGATTTCATTTCATTTTTAAGAAGTAAGAAAAGGAACCTGCCGTGGTGGCAGATGCCTTTAAACCCAGAACACAGGAGGTAGAGGCAGGCAGATTTTGAGTCCCAGGCCATCCTGATCTAAGGAGCAAGGGCAACATAGTGAGACCCTATCTCAAAAGAAATAATGATGGCAGTGATGGTGATGGATGGAGGTATGACTCAGTGAGCATGTCTGGTTCTTGCAGAGGACCCTGGTTCGTTCCCAGCACCCAAGTCATGCAGCTCACAGTGCCTGTAACTCCAGCACCAGGAAATCTAACTCCCTCTTCTGGCCTCCCCTGCAAGTTGCTAACATGTGCATACACATGATTTAAACCAGGAAATAAGTATCTTTAAAAGTAACAACGACAGGACTGGGGGTGTGGATCAGTGGCAGAGGACTTGTATGGTAGCCACAAGGCTCAAGTTCAATCTCCAGCACCTCAAAAAGCTAACAACAGAAATGATAGTGAGGGTACTACCATAACGTGGTAACTGGATTTCTCTGGTTTTGTGCTAAGAAGCTTGACAAGGAATCTTTTTTTTTATAGCCATAAGTATTTATTAAGGAAGGGGGAGAAAGAAAGACAGAGAAAAGAGATAAAAGGAGAGAGGAGAGATAAAAGAAGAGAGAGACAGAGAAAACGCGTGCGCACGCCAAGGAAGCAGAAAGAGAGAGAGCTTGACAAGGAATCTTAATGCGTCTTGTTTTCTTCTGAGTCTGAACTGTCAGTGCCATGACATCCTTATGTCAGTGACCAACTGTACTAAAAACATCTCAGGGGTCTTCTGTTCATGTAGAGGAAATGAAGTCTGTGACCTATACTGAATATTCCCTCACTGGTACTGTAAAAGAGGGCAAATGACTTGAATTCACTGGCTTCTCTTCCCAATCAGAGCTTCTCCTGTGCCAAGTACTGCACTGCATTCTGGGAAAGTAGCAATAAAGAAGGTGCTGAAGCCCTTACCCTTGAGGAAATCCAATGGTCTCCAATACTTATAGAGACAAATATACAAATAGACAGTTACAGCACATGATAGAAGATGGTGTGGGAGATTAAAAAGGAAAGAAATGAATTTAACTTTAGAGGGTTTGTATAGATGTTGGTATTTGAAGTAGATCTTAAGGAATGATTAGGCACTGAACAAGGAAAAGAGACAGAGGCTTGGTTTACAAATGCTATTGTCTGAAGTATCTGTGGTGTGATGGCCATGACAA